TCATTGCGCTCTTCCCGGGCGAGGCAGATCAGTCGCTGGATTCTGGACGGCCGCTCACTGCGGCTGCTGGCCGCTCACGCTGGCTGCTGGCTATATACGGTAGCCCATGGCAATTCACTGCCACAGGGGCCGTTGCTGGCAACTCATGGCAGCCCAGCTCCAGGTTGAGCTGTTGTTCAGCATCTTAGCTGTAGAGGGCAGTGTCACTGGCCCTCATATGTGGGATCCGAACCGGGGCCCTCTGGCATCCCAAGCCAGTTCTTAACCATCACGCTACTCAGCCGGCCCCCAATTTGTAACTCTTGATTAAAAAAACCAAAAGCACCCCCAAGCCTGGAAAGTAAGCGGGGAAAGGCTAAATGTGGGATTCAGCTAAGGAGATTCTTGCATTGAATAGAAGGTTGAACTGAATCCCTGTACTAAATGGAATGCCTTAAAATGAAAGCTTAAATAACTAAGGATCCTAAAGAATCTACAAAACACACAGACAGATGCATAAAACAACCTCCTAGAACCAATAAATGCCATAGTATGTAAGGTCAGAACTAAACATCAACTGTATTTATATTAATTAGCAGCAAAAAATTGGAGACCACAATTAAAAACACAATAATACCATTTATAGTCACTCCTCCCAAATGAAATACTTAGGTATAAAACTAATAAAATATGACAGGATCTGTATAATAAAATCTACAAAATGCTAATGAAACAAATCAAAGAAGACCTAAATAAATGGAGAGATATACCATATTCATTAGAATATGGAAGACTCAACATAGTAAAGATAAAAATTGCAGCAGCTCTTTTGTATATATAGACAAAATGACTCTAAGATTTATAAGGAAAGACAAAGGAATTAGAAAGCTAAAATAATAATGAAAAAGGATAAGAAAGTTGGAGGAAATCACATTACTTAGTAAGATGTTAAGACTTACTATATAGCAACAGTAATCAGTACAGTGTGGTATTGGAGGAGGGACAGACACAGATCAAGATGGAGACCAGAAGTAGACCCACATAATAAGTATGTCCAACAGATTTTTTACAAAGGTGCAAAAGCAATTCAACAGGAGAAGAACAGTCTTCAACAAATGGTATTGGAACACCTAGACTTCCATAGATAAAAAATAAACCTTTACCTAAACCTTATACCATATACAAAAATTAACTCAAAATAAATCATAGATCGATATGTAAATCATAAAACTACAAAACTTTTAGAAAAAACGGGAGAAAATTTCTATGACCTGGGATTTGGCAAAAACTTCTTAGACAAGGCACCAAAAGTATAACTCATTTAAATAAGAAAATTGGTCACTGGTCTTTATCAAAATGTTGTGGTGCTCAAGACCCTATTAAGAGGATGAAAAGACAGTCCCCTTAGTGGGTAATATTCATATATCTGACAAAGGACTTTTATCCAGAATATATAAAGAATCTCCAAAGTCAGCATTAAGAAAACAATCCCATTAGAAAATGAGCAAGAGACTTGAATAAACACTTTACTGAAGAGGATAAACAGGTAGCAAATAAGCGCACGAAAATATGTTTCACCTTCATTAGCCATTAAGGAATTGAATATTACAGCTATAATGAGATACCACTTCACACCTATCAGAATACTAAAGTAAAAACACTGACAATATCAAGTGAGGAGTAGAACAGCTGGATCTCTTATACTTTGCTGGTGGGAATGTAAAATAGTACAGCCACTTTAGAAGACAGTTGGATGTTTTCATAAAGTTAAACATACACTTGCTATATTTAGTAGTTTCCTATGGCCACTAACAAATTACCACATACTTGCTGGCTTAACATAATAGAAATGTGTTCTCTCCTAGTTATGGAGGCTGGAAGTTCAAAATCAGTTTTGCTGGTCTGAAATCAAAGGCTCCATGGGAGAATCTGTTCCTTGCCCCTTTTTCTGGTGACTGTCAGCATTCCTTTGCTTGTAGCCGTATCACGCCAATCTCTACCTCTGTCTTCACATCACTATCTGTGTGTGTCTGTCTCCTGACTTTCTCTTATGAGGGCACTTGTGATGGCACTTAGGGCCCATCTAGATAATTTAGGATAATCTCTTTCTTTTTTAAATAAGATTTTATTGGGGAATTGGGTGAGGGAACAGTGTTGGGGAATTGGGGAAGGGAAATATTGTGTTTTTCCAGGACCCATCAGCTCAAAGTCAAGTTGTTGTCCTTCAATCTCAGTTGTGGAAGGCACAAGCTCAGCCCCAAATCCAGTCATCGCTTTCAATCTAGTTGTGGGGGCATAGTCCACCATCCCATGAGGGAATCGAACTGGCAACCTTGTTAACAGCATGTGCTCTTGGGCCAGCCGATTGGCTCAGTTAGTTAAGAGTTGGCTTAAGAGCGTAAGCTCTGAGCAACAGGGCTGTCAGTTCAATTCCCACATGGGCCAGTGATGCTGCGCCTGAGCTGAGCTGTCACTGAGCTGCCAACAGGTGGTAGGATGGCTCAGCTGGTGTAACAACAAGATTTCCTGTTCGATGGTGTGCTACGCCCACCTGCAGCTAAGACTGAACTCGGCACCTTGAGCTGAGCTGCCACCCGGATGGCTCAGTGGGTAGGGCGTGCACTCTTAACAACAAGGCTGCTGGTTCGACTCCCGCATGGGATGGTGGCTACGTCCACATGCAACTAAGATTGAACACAGCACCTTGAGCTTAGAGGCTATGAGCTGCCGATGGGAAGCCAGATGGCGACTGGCGCTCTCCACAACGAAGATTAAAGAACAACAATTTGGCTGGTGCCCTCCCCCAATTCCCCAATAAAATCTTTTTTTTTTTTTAAGATTTTTTTTATTGGGGAATTGGGGGATAACAGCGCTGGGGAATTGGGAGGAAGGGGAACAGACAAGTTGCTGTCGTTTTGTTCTTCAGTCTAGTTGTGGAGGACATTGCTTCACTGGCCCAAGTTGGCACCATCATTGCG